ATCGTTGGCAAAAATATGCATGCATGCCATAAAGACGATTCACCGGCTGACAATTCACAAAGCAATATGATCAAGACTAAGCATGCATGCACCGGAATCTCCAAGAGGATGTCCCGTGCATGGTTGAATTGTTTTCTCGTCTGTTAGGTTGATGTAGGACTATAGGTACCTTGTGGCGGGAGGACGCCCTTATCGCAGAGCCCCGGGAAGGCCATGTAAGCCAAGAGGCAGGCGGCGGCACCCGTGCGCAGCACCAGCGTCGGCACGCCGAGACGGTGGGCAACCACCTGGATCCCCCGGAGGTTGGAGTCTACCACCAGGCATGCCGGCGCTTCCTCCTCCTCGAGGAGCAACTCCCGGAGGCTGTCCTCGAAAGGAGCCTCGAGACGCTCGTTGATGCGAAGCAGCGCCTCGGCGAAGTTGCCGTGGCTGCCGGTGGGGACGAGGTCCGCGATCGGTACTGAGGCGCCGACGGTGACGAAGCGGTAGCCCGCGGGGCGGCGCTCGGGGTCCGGGGCGTTGAAGGCGGAGTGGAAGACGGTGACACGGAGGCCCCGGGCGTGCAGGACGGCGGCGAGCTGCAGCATCGGGTTGATGTGGCCCTGGAACGGCAGCGGGAACAACAGCACGCGCCGGGCGCCACCGCTCGCCGGAGCCTTGTTCGTCGACCTGGCCATGGCCTCCGTTAGCGAGTAGGAGGAGTACGTGCCTGATTACCGATGGAAATATGGATCCGTGTGCTGTTGGTTTTTATACAGGAAAGGCAATCATTGGAGATTTATGAGCGCGCTGAATGGGTTAGAGCGGGAGACGATGGATGGACACCAGGGGTCCAAATGTGGGGTTTGCTTGAGGAAATGCGTTATTATGCTGAGCTTTCGATCCGCTTTCAATTCATACCGATGTACATCCACATTCCTCGTGTGCGCAACGTGTGGAATGGCAGCCTGCTACTGGTATAATTGAGGATGATGATTGATGAAGACACTACACTAACCGACAGCTTACCAACGATCCCGCTATTGGAAAATCCACCCATCCAAGAGGTTACGAAAAAATAGTCCGCCATCGTTAGTTTACTAGCATGCCCGCGCGGTTGATATGTTATGTAACAATTTCAGTTTTCTTTCCTACATTTTACTTATGTAATTAAATCAGCGGCCAATATAGTATAACTTCTATTTTTCAAGAAAAATAAAAAAAGATATAGACACTTGAGACGTTAAACCTGGTTAATTGAAAATATTATGGCTCATTATAGAAGTTCCATGAGCCATAGGAGGGCAGAGAAAAATGCAAAGCTCAAAAGCCAACAGTGGCAGGCAGAGAGATGTTTAATAGTGATTACTTAAATCAAATGAAAGGCTAAATGGACGGTGAAGATAACCTCTGAGAGGGATATGAACCAAAGTAAAAAGAATATGCGAAAAACTGATACATAGAAGCACCTTGTTCAATCATATTCGCTTAGAATGGACATAAATAAATAACCACACTGTCCAGATTACAACATGACAGAAAATGTATCTACCCAGAACAGGAAGTTATAGAACCAACTTCCGTGAAGAGACATTTTTGTTCCCTGAAGCTGAACATGGCGTTGTAACGATCTAGAATGAAGATGGCCATCAGTACCACAATGCCTTGAGTCAAAAATAAGAATATGCAGTATGGGCATGCATACTCATCTAGTGAATCATCTTACACTGAATATCGACACAGTTAGACCCAAACTGGTTAACAGTACAATTTTTAAGGTCACAAATTCGGATGAAGCATTACTATTCATAAAATAAAACAAAAATGTTTGAAATCCTAATAGATAGAATAAATCCATTGTTCTGGCTCTTTACATTGGTAGTTTTCCATAGTGCCACCTACCTACATCAACCATATAGTTTAGCGCGAGCTGCATCTTCCAGAGAAAACATGCAAATATTGGCAATGCTAGTTACAGAAAAAGCTGGGAACAATACTCTGCACCTTCAGATTTTTCAAAAACCATCAAAGTCAAGCTATTGTTGAGAAGCATGTCCAGCTAACACAATCTAAATTCCTTTTCCTTCTAACACAATCCTAATCCACGTAAAATCAAACAAGGTGTTTCTCAGCTATGCTAAGTAAAATGATCAAACTATATAGCAGTATGTTCTAGGAAACTACAAGAAAAAATTGATAACTATTGGAAGATATCCTAATACTGTAAGGTGTAATAGTGTAGAAGTTCCGCACAAAACATGCTTTGCTCTAGTAGGATTAAGGCAGTCCACGGAGCGGGAGAACTAACTCATTGTGATGATTAGTTTTAGTAAGTAGTAGCATTTTCGTACATGATGAAGGAATTAGGAGAACATACTCACAATAGAAGGTCCTTTGATTGTATCACCTGTGGCCAAAAGAAATATTTGATTGTATCACATGTACCCACAACACCCAGCTACCAAAGATCCAGCAATCCGTATACTGGCCCAACACCAGCACACAACCAAGTTCAAAATTTTTGTCAAGTCATTTACTACTTTATCACGGGTACCAACCCTGCGGGAGGCCGAGCCAGAACACTCACTAGTAGAAAAGGGGGCAATGGCTCAGGCCAGTTCAGCCCATTAGTCCCGGTTCAATCCAGAACCGGGACGAATGGAGCTATTTGCCCCGGTTCGTGAGCCCAGGGGGCCGGCCGGGCCACGTGGGCCATTGGTCCTGGTTCGTTCGGACCTTTTGGTCCCGGTTGGTGGGACGAACCGGGACCAATGGGCCTGGCTCCTGGCCCACCACTATTGGTCCCGGTTGGTGGCATGAACCGGGACCAACGGCTACCCGTTAGTCCTGGTTCATGCCACGAACCGGGACCAATAGTGCTGCCTATATATACCCCCTCGCTCGTGAGCAGAGCACTCCAGTGCTCTGTTTTTCTCTTGCCGGCGAGGGGGGGCTTTGTGGTGCTCTAGCTCACCTCCATAGCACATGAGGTGTTCGATGAAATGCCCGAGCCACACTACTTAAGTTTTCTCCTCTCCAAGCTCGACCTCCAACCTCCATTTTCCTCAATATTTGTCTAGGTTTAGCGGTCCATCACGCCCCGTCCCCGTCTTCACCGCCGTTGATCACCCGTGCCGATCTCATCGCCAGCACCACCGTGGTGAGCCTCTTGTTCTTATCTTCTTTCTGAAAGGAAAAATATTCTTACTTGTATTATTTTCTTACTTTTATTATTGCATCTTATATAGTGCGATGGTTTTGGTATCCGCCCCCGTCTACCCTCGTCCTGTCTGTGATTCGGATGTGGTATATATTATCTTTTCATAACTATTGGTTCATTTATTGTTTATGAAAATTATGCCGACCAACGTGACATAGATTTTATTTATCTAGGAGGTTGTTGAACCGGAAATTCCAACCGACCCTATTGTCGAGAGGTTAAATTTAGTTGAAGAAGAAAACAATTTCTTGAAGGAAAAAATAAAAAAACTTGAGGAGGAGAAGATGATATTGGAGTTGCATGTTGCGGATGTCGTCGATGATCACAAGATCAAGATGGATGCAATGCTCTTGAAGATGAGAAAGATTAGAAAATATGTCATTCATACCGAGGCTTGGTATCATTATGCCCTTGGATAAGTTGTTACCTTGGTTGCGATTATGATCGCATTTGTTTTCGCATTGAAATGTTTTACATAGTTTCAATGTATGGTTTAATTAATAGATGCTCTGCAGAGCTTTATGTTGTTAGATGAGAACTATATATGTACTTTGGTTTTTATGTGATGATGAACTTCTATTAATTTGGTCACTTAATTATCTATTCATGATGTTCTGTAATGATTTTTGACACACTTAATTATATATAATGCACGCAGATGAACCAGCAATGGATGTACGGTGACAGACACACCTCCGAGTACATTAAGAGCGTGCATGATTTTCTTGAAGTGGCTGAGGCAAACAAGCAGAATGGTTTTATGTGTTGTCCATGCCCTATATGTGGGAATACGAAGTCTTACTCTGACCGGAAAATCCTTCACACCCACCTGCTTTACAAGGGTTTCATGCCACACTATAATGTTTGGACGAGGCACGGAGAAATAGGGGTTATGATGGAAGACGGCGAGGAAGAAGAGTACGATGACAACTATGTGCCCCCTGAATACGGTGATGCTACTGAACATCAAGATGCACCAGACGATGTGCACGATGGTGCTGCAACGGGCGAAGCTGCTGAAGATCAAGAGGAACCAGACGATGTGCCCGATGATGATGATCTCCGCCGGGTCATTGTCGATGCAAGGACACAATGCGAAAGTCAAAAGGAGAAGCTGAAGTTCGATCGCATGTTAGAGGATCACAAAAAGGGGTTGTACCCCAATTGCGAAGATGGCAACACAAAGCTCGGTACCGTACTCGAATTGCTGCAGTGGAAGGCAGAGAATGCTGTGCCTGATAAAGGATTTTAGAAGCTACTGAAAATAATGAAGAAGAAGCTTCCAAAGGATAACGAATTGCCCGACAGTACATACGCAGCAAAGAAGGTCGTATGCCCTCTAGGATTGGAGGTGGAGAAGATACATGCATGCCCTAATGACTGCATCTTCTACCGCGGTGCCTACAAGGATCTGAACGCATGCCCGGTATGCGGTGCATTGCGGTATAAGATCAGACGAGATGACCCTGGTGATGTTGACGGTGAGCCTCCTAGGAAGAGGGTTCCTGCGAAGGTGATGTGGTATGCTCCTATAATACCACGGTTGAAACGTCTGTTCAGAAACGGAGAGCATGCCAAGTTAGAAAGTTGAGAGCACCCGCTGACGGGTCGCAGTCAAGAAAAATTGAGAGAAAGTACTGGGATGAGTTTGCAAAGGACCCAAGGAACGTATGGTTTGCTTTAAGCGTGGATGGCATTAATCCTTTCGGGGAGCAGAGCAGCAATCACAGCACCTGGCCCATGACTCTATGTATGTATAACCTTCCTCCTAGGATGTGCATGAAGCGGAAGTTCATTATGATGCCAGTTCTCATCCAAGGCCCTAAGCAACCCGACAACGACATTGATGTGTACCTAAGGCCATTAGTTGAAGAACTTTTATAGCTGTGGAATGGAAACAGCGTACGTACATGGGATGAGCACAAAAAGGAGGAATTTGACCTAAAGGCGTTGCTGTTCGTGACCATCAACGATTGGCCCGCTCTCAGTAACCTTTCAGGACAGACAAACAAGGGATACCACGCATGCACGCACTGTTTACTTGACACCGATAGTATATACCTGGGAAGCTGCAGGAAGAATGTGTACCTGGGCCATCGTCGATTTCTTCCGACCAACCATCAATGTCTAAAGAAAGGCAAGCATTTCAAAGGCGAGGCAGATCACCGGAAGAAGCCCGCCATGCGTACCGGTGATCACGTACTTGCTATGGTCAATGATTTACACGTAATCTTTGGAAAGGGTCCCGGCGGACTAGCTATTCCGAATGACGCTGAGAATCACGCACCCATGTGGAAGAAGAAATCTATATTTTGGGACCTACCCTACTGGAAAGACCTAGAGGTCCGCTCTTCGATCGACGTGATGCACGTGACGAAGAACCTTTGCGTGAACCTGCTAGGCTTCTTGGGCGTGTATGGGAAGACAAAAGATACACCTGAGGCACGAGAGGACCTGCAACGCTTGCACGAAAAAGAG